GAGGTTGCTGTGAGCTGTGATGCCACAGCACTCTACCCAGGGGAACAGCTTGAGGCTCTGTCTCAAAAAAAAGAAAAAGTCCCAATTGATAGATACTTAAAGTTTTACTGATGTTTGGTATAATAAAAAATGCTGAATAAATACCCTTGAATGGACATTTATTCATACACCTGTGTGTAAGTTACATATAGGTGTTTTATTTATTTATTTATTTATTTAATTTTTGAGACAGAGTCTCACTCTGTCACCCTGGGTAGAGTGCTATGGCATCATCACAGTTCATGTAACCTCAAATTCTTGGGGTCAAGAGATCCTCTGGCCTCAGCCTCCCTAGTGGATGGGGCTACAGGTACCTGCCATGATGTCTGGCTAGTCTTGTTTTTTTTTTTTTTTTCTATTTTTAGTAGAGATGGGGTCTTGCTCAGGGTGGTCTCAAACTCCTGAGCTCAAGTGATCTGCCAACCTTGGCGTTCCAGAGTGCTAGGATTACAGACCTGAGCTACCTTGCCTGGCCATATATAGGTGTTTTAAGTTTTATACAATAGATTCCACAAAATAGGATTGCTGTGTGTATATTTTAATAAATAGGATTAAGGGCGGCGCCTGTAGCTCAGTGAGTAGGGCGCTGGCCCCATATACCGAGGGTGGCGTGTTCAAACCTGGCCCCTGCCAAACTGCAAGAAAAAAAAATAGCCAGGTATTGTGGCGGGCGCCTATAGTCCCAGCTACCGGGGAGGCTGAGGCAAGAGAATTGCCTAAGCCCAAGAGTTTGAGGTTGCTGTGAGCTGTGACTCCACAGCACTCTATCGAGGGCCACATAGTGAGACTCTGTCTCAAAAATATATAGATATTATAGGATTAAGTAACTTGCTAAAAAACTGTAGCAATTTTCACTTCCATGAAGAATGTGAGAGTTGAGGGCTTGCTTTGGCAGCATATGTACTAAAATTGGAAAGATACAAGATTAGTGTGGCCTCTGCACTAGGATGACATGAAAATTTGTGAAACATTCCATAAAAAATGAAAATAACAGCCCGGCGCCTGTGGCTCAAGTGGTTAAGGCGCCAGCCACATACACCTAAGGTGGTGGGTTCAAATCCAGCCCGGGCCCGCCAAACAATAATGACGGCTGAAACCAAAAAATAGCTGGGCGTGGTGGCTGGCACCTGTGGTCCTAGCTACTTGGGAGGATGAGGCAGGACACTCACTTGAGCCCAGGAGTTGGAGGTTGCTATGAGCTGTGATGTCACGGCACTCTACCCAGGGGGACAGCTTGAGGCTCTGCCTCAAAAAACAAAAACAAAAACAAAATGAAAATAACAAAAAATGTGGGAATGTGCCCTTTTCCATCCAGTCCCAGCTAACTCTGGCTATTCGTGCTTTCTTTTTTTCTTTTACAGACAGAGTCTAATTAGGCTCCCCTAAGTAGAGTGCTGTGGTGTCACAGCTCACAGCAAACTCAAACTCTTGGGCTTAAGTAATTCTCTCTGTACCTCGGGCCTACAGGCACCTGCCACAACCCCCAGCTATTTTTTTTTTTTTTTTTTGTAGCTGTCATTGTTGTTTAGCTTGCCCAGGCTGGATTTGAACCTGCCAGCCTTGGTGTATGTGGCTGACGCCGTAACCATTGTGCTACGGGCGCCAAGCCTATTCTTGCCTTCCTTTGTATTTTTGCCAGTCTGATGGGTAAAAAAATGAAATCATGCTTTTAATTTGATCTTTTACTTTATCTAACTACTATTAAAAGATATATATTTTGTTGGCCAATCAGATTTCCTCACTTATGAATTGGCTGTTCATATCCCTTATTGTTTTTTGTTTTTTGCTTTTTTTTTTTTGAGACAGAGCCTCAAGCTGTCCACCTGGGTAGAGTGCCATGGCATCGCAGCTCACAGCAACCTCCAACTCCTGGGCTCAAGCGAGTCTCCTTCCTCAGCCTCCCAAGTAGCTGGGACCACAGGCGCCTGCCACAGTGCCCAGTTAGTTTTTGGTTGCAGCCGTCGTTGTTTGGTGGGCCTGGGCTGGATTCAAACCTGCCACCTTAGGTGTATGTGGGTGGTGCCTTAGCCAATTGAGCCACAGGCGCCGAGTCTTGCTTTTTGTTTTTGAGACAGAGTCTTACTATGACTATGACACCCTAGGTAGAGTGCCGTGGCATCACAGCTCACAGAAACCTCCAACTCTTGGGCTTAAGTGATTCTCTTGCCTCAGCCTCCCAAGTAGCTGGGACTACAAGCACTCACCACAACACCTGGCTATTTTTTTTGTTGTTGCAGTTGTCATTGTTTAGCTGGCCGGACCGGGTTCAAACCCACCACCCTCAGTGTATGTGGCTGGTGCCTTACTCACTGAGCTACAGACACTGCCATCTTTTTTTTTTTTCCAGACAGAGTCTCACTATGCCTTGTATGTTTTAAAATGGGTTATTTCTTTCTTATCTTTTGGTAGAAATTCTTTGTGTCCTGTCAATAGTAACCCTTTGACCATTATATGTGTCACAAAATTTAAAAAGCTATGCTAATATGGTGTCTATTGCTACAAAGATTCTATAATTTTTGTATGGTTAGATATATCTTTTGTCTCTTTTATAGCACTTAGGTTTTAAAAAGCCCCATCCCACACCAAGAGAAATATTCTCCTAAGTCTTCTTTTAATATCCCATAGTTTTATATTTAAACCTTTAGTCCATCTGGAAATGAATTTTACATATTTTGAGGTCAGGAGTCAACATTTCTTTTCTTCTGAGTGGGAAGCCATGTTTTCTTCATGACCATTTAATAAATAAACCGTCTCTTTCCAGCTGAATTGAAATGTCTGCGTAACAAACATCAGTAAAACTTTAAGCATCTATTAATTGTTGTTTTTGTTTGGTTTTGTTTTTTGATACAGCGTCACACTATGTCACCCTTGGCAGAGTCCTGTGGCAGCACAGCTCACAGCAACCTCTAACTCTTGGGCTTAAGCTATTGTCTTGCCTCAGCCTCCCAAGTAAGCTGGGATTATAGGCACCCACCACAATGCCTGGCTATTTTTGTTGTTGTTGCAGTTGTTATTGTTGTTTAGCTGGCCGGGCCAGGTTCGAATCCGCCACTCTCAGTGTATGTGGCTGGCTCTGTAACCACTGTGCTATGAGCGCGGAGCCAGGATTTTTTTTTTTGGAGACAGGGTCTTGCTGTGTCACCCATGCTGGTCTCGAACTCCTAGGCTCCTAGTTATGTACTCAGTTCCTTTATATGGTGAAATTTGTTTGGACTGTTTTTCTTTCTCACCCCTCTCATTATATATTCATGTGCCAAAACTGTATATTTTTTATTGTAATTTTTAAAATTAAGTATTTTTAATTATTATAGGTACATAATAATCGTGTACCTTTGTACAGGCATACATTGTGAATTAACAAAATCAGGGTAACTAGAGTATCCATCACCTCAGGTATTTATCATTTCTTTGTGTTAGGAACATTCCAATTCCATTGTTTTAGTTATTTTAAAATATACTTCAACTTATTGTTTATCATAGTTACATTGTTGTGCTATCAAATATTGTTCATTCAAACTATATAACGATATTTTTGCACCCATTAGCCATCCCCACTTTATCCTCCCTCCCTTCTCAGACTCCGATAACCATCATTTTATTCTGTCGCCATAAGAGAAATTGGTTCTTAATATTTAGCTCCCACTTATGAGTGATAGCACCCAAAATCTGTCTTTCCGTACTTGGCTTATTTCTTTTTCTTTATCTTTTGTTTTTGTTTTTGAGACAGAGCCTCAAGCTATCACCCTCTGTACAGAGCTCACAGCAACCTCCAACTCCTGGGCTTAAGCGATTCTCTTGGCTCAGCCTCCCAAGTAGCTGGGAGTACAGGCACCTGCCACAATGCCCGCCTATTTTTTGGTTGTAGTTGTCATTGTTTGGCAGCCCGGGACCAGATTTGAACCCAACAGCTCTGGTGTATGTGGCTGGCACCTTAGTGGCTTGAGCTACAGGTGCCACCCTTTATATTTATTTATTTATTTGTTTGTTTGTTTGTTTTTGGCTGGGGCTGGGTTTGAACCCGCCACCTCTGGCGTATGGGGCCCGCGCCCTACTCCTTTGAGCCACAGGTGCCGCCCTATCTTTATTTTTTGAAACTGAGTCTTACTCTGTTGCCCCAGGCTAGAGAGCGGTGGTGTCATAGCTCACAGGAGTCTGAAACTCTTGGGCTCAAGTGATTCTCTTGCCTCAGCCTCCCTAGTAGCTGGGACTATAGGTGCCCAGCACAATGCCGCCTAGTTTTTCTCTATTTAGTAGAGATGGGGTCCTGCTCTTCCTCAGGCTGATCTTGAACTCCTGAGCTAAAGGGATCCTTCCACTTCAGCCTCCTAGGGGGTTAGGATTACAGGTATGAGCCACTACACCTAGCTAAAGACTTTTTTTTTTTTT